GTTATTTCAGGTTTCTGTGTAGTCAGCTATTTTTAATGTTTATTTTCTTTATTTGGTAATTTCAGCACTTCTAGGGTAGGTTTTTAATCCCAGTTCTCTTAAATAATCTGGGGCTCGCTGAAAGTAGAGCCAACACCCGGATTATTGGCCTGACCATATGACTTCCCTACTGTGACATGTTCTGGTCTTGAAGGGCATCGGGTTGTACATATATTGTTGAAATCACACATGGTGTCATTATAACTTGTCTGGTTTTTCTTTGAGATTTTGAACTTCTTAGGTGTTAGGAAGTTATATCATTAAATCTCTGAAGTATTCATGTATCCGCAGATGATACGTGGTTACTCCCTGGGGCTGCTGCTTTTCCAGGAGGGTTTTAGGGACTCGAGATTAGGGCATTTAAGGCATTGTAAGTGGTCATTTGTCAGTTGGGGTCAAGTTGCAAGCTAATAGGCTTTGAGAGAGTTCTTCTACATTGCAGCCGTTAAAGTAATTATCTATTAGCTATTTATAGCTAGTTATGAATGGAGCTTATCAAAAGACTGTTTTGTTCTCAAACTATGTAAATACTGGCGGCTACTGTACACTAACATTAACTATGCCAGAGGTTTAGGATTAATTCCTCCACATACAAAATGCTTGAATCTTGTTTCCTTCAGAAAGCACATTTTCACATGTTTCAGTCACAATTTTATAAACTGATTTTTTGGGCTACATTTTGTCAGAAATAAAACAGGCTAATGAAACACAAAATCAAAATCTGTTACCTGAAAAAGGAAAGTAAAAATGTGTAATAGCCTGACTAATTTTTAATAGGGTCTTAAAGAATGCTCTTAAATAGCTATGACAGTAGCAGCGATTCACCTTTTAAGGCTGCCTGTCTCTTCAGGCTGAAAGAAAAGAAATGACTGAGAGATCTCATGGCTAAGGAGAGGCTTAGTAACTTCATGCACTCCTCAGTGTATTCCATCTGTCCTTACGTTTACTGTGCTGCATTTCACTGTTTTTCTTATTTGATTCTGTAGATAAATGTATTTTACTTATTTCGGCATGTATCTCCACTTGATGTCTGAGCTGATGAATGTGACAGTTGTGTATCAGGATCATTGCATATGTAGGCAGGTAGGAAGTGGCCTTTTGAAATAGATACTTCCGGAATACAATGTCTAAAAGTGACTACTAAATGTTTCTGGAGTTAGAAACTTTTGGTTTAGCCTTTTATAATTGAACTGTGAAGGAATTTAACTCTTCTAACTTACTATGAGACTTTTTTTGTGTGTCAGTGGAAATTAATTTTGTGTTAAGTATGGAATTACTTTGGGTTCTGCACTTGAGTTGATTTCTTTTACAGTTTTATTCCTGCTATAATCACTCTTGGAAGAGTTTTATAGGAAAGAAATAGCATAGACACTATGGACTAGATATTTTTATGTAATTCTGATATCTCTTGATTTCAATGTATCTCAATATTAAATCAGGCTACCTCTTACCCCTAAGAGATGAAAACTTATGAAAAAGTCAAAAAAATATCCGCCCTTACTGGTACCTTAAATCTCATTGAGGCTTAATCTACCTCTGAGTTTATTTTGACAATTACCCTGCTTGTAGTGTTTCTTAAGAGATTAAAAACATTATTTTAAAAGGGAAGGAGGTATTGAATTTTAGGGGGAAATCTTTAATTTTTACCTAAATAATGCCACTCTTAATATTTATTAAAACCCATCTAGCTGTGATACTTTGTTTTAGTACAAAGCAAATGGGAAAACCAGTTTCTAAGACTTTTGAACGGAACTTAAGTTATATATTCAGTCCTAATCATTTCATTTAGAAATTAGGTCTGTCTTTATGATATATTGCATCTTTAAATAATAAAATACCTCAAAGATAATAAAACTCTTGAGATCACATTATACGAATTATATACATCAATTATTTAAAAAATAAATAATGGACAATTTGAAATGAATAGGTATGTTAAAATCAAGTCAAAATCTGTATTTATGAAATTTTAACGGAGCCTCTATGTATGACATATTTTTTCGTTAGAAACAAATTAGTCATGTTCACACTATTATATTAGTCATAATATTAAATATTCTCAGGTATTTGTGGACCAAGACTGTTGTGCTATTCTTTAATAATATGCACCAGAAAGCTCTGGAGAAATGATAAATATGCTAAGTCATTGGAGGTACTATTATACTATTTCCTTCATTTTTTCTAAGGTCTAGCTTTTTATACATCTGATTTTTGAAATCAATATCATTTCTTATTAACTGATGCTTGTTAAGAAATGGAAGATGGTAATTATTTTTAAGAAATAATCCTATATATTATTAGTGTTATTTTTTTTGAAAGGAGACAGGATTAACACCCCTAACCATTCCTAAAATAGAGTTGCTACTTACGGAACACATGCTTTAGCACTGTCTATTGAAAAGTTTAGCAATTGTACTTTATGAGATGAAAATCAGTACACGTTTTGTCTATCAAGTGAAACACTCCTGTGAAAATCTGTTTCTAGGTATTGCTATACTTTTCAAGAGAATCTTCTGTGTTGTGTGTGCTAGTTTTGGCTGATATAGATACTTGCCTTTTGGTTTATCCTATATATTTAGATCCTCTACAGATGAACTGATGTGTCTAGACAGGAAGTGGTATGTAGGAGATATAGGAATGGGCTGAAGTATCCTTTATATTTGCCTTTGTATCTAGGGGAGTTGCAAATAGGCAAGAATGGAGAGAAATTTTGTATGGCAGTACACAGAAATTTTGCAAGTTTATTGTGAGCCCTGCAGCAGTCCGATGCATTTTAGTTACTGGTAAGTTTGTTAAATTACGTTTGAAAATGTACTCTTCGAAGATGGCCATCTATTTACTATTACGTCCACTATGTCAAATATACCTATTTTAAAGATTTTTTTTGAAAAGATGTGGTATTTCTGTTGCATTGAGTTTTAGATATAAATTAAAAATACTTTTGTTAGTGAATACATTTGACTTTTTCAACTGTCATAGTTAAAATTGAAGTGAAATTAACATTATGGACAGCATAGTCTTGTGTTAAACTTTGGGAGTAATAAAATTAATATTTCTTATTTGTAATGGGACTCCACTATGTTTAGAAGTCTGAGTTAATTAGGTGACTGAGAAAGAATAGTCCTTCTGACATAAAAGATTAAGATGATGCATGTCATCCTTGTAATTTTAAATGGTTCTACATGGGAGGGTGATATTATAAGAAAAATGTTTTTTGCAGTTTTTTCATGGACCTTAGGGACCACAGTGAGGCATGTTGAGTCTTTTCTTTTTGGTGGTGCTATGTTCAGGAGCCTGAACCATCTTTCTTCCTAAATCACTAATTCAGGTGTAGGTAAGAATTCTATGAGCAGATTAGAAATTGTGTAACCTCCCTGCAGTGGTTATTCTTTATTCTTTCAAAACATGTAGGGAGAAGTACTATGTGTAGTGGTACAACAATTATGTGTGAAGTGGCTTTGACTGTTGATATGATTCACTTAGAGAGACTAGATTTCTTAATAGCTGTTCTTCTTTACAGGAATATTACAACAGTCCCAAGGGATTCCTTGGTAGTTGTGTTTTTCTTATAAATTTCTATGTCTGATTTTAGGAGTATCATTTATTTGTAATACTAGCTTATTTTTTTTGTGGCTTAAATATATAGGGCCAGTTAATATAAATTGATTTTATTTTAATGTCCTGTAATGAAGTATTTTATTTCCAGATACACTCTATCTTTTCTAGCGGATATCATGTATACCATTAAACTATCAATTTTTATAACAATAATCATAATTTTGCTGTTCACTTTTTTTGAGAATACTTCTGATTTCAACAAGAATAGCCACATTATCAGAGAAGTGTGTTACTTGTCAATCCTACTGAAACCAGAGGAGCTCGCGTAACTTCAAAGAACGGGCTAACTGTAGGTTCCTTTCGGGCTTTAATACTTTTCCAGTTTTCCTCATTAACAGATTTCCTTAATTTCTGGTGGGACTGAGTACTTGTGCATCTAAAATATATGTAGAAATTTGTTTTATCCTGTCTTGTGATTATAAATAAGCAATTTAGGGTACATTAAAATACACTGTAAATAGGTACCATTTTAATTGCTGAGAAAGTCTGGCATAGTCATTTATTGTTATAAACTACGGTAAGCATATACAATGAAGGAATGTATTTTAATTAGGACTGCTGTCATGTATTAATGCTGCTGTTTGGAAATGTTCTACGTAATCTTGTGAAGTAATACATTATTGGAGCTTAGTCTAGCACAATCATTTATTTTTCCTTTGTTTCTTCATTCACTCACTAGACATATCAAGTCTATCTTTGGTGTACATCTTTGCGTGCCTTTGTGTGTTTGTGCATATGTTGTGTAATGATCTGCCACTTTTCATTTCAATATTACATAAGTCTTATTTTCTCTGCTCTCACGAACTTTCCTGAGGGCATCTATGGGTCCAAGTAACATGCTGCATAGTCCTCTGGATGTTTTAAAAAATATAGATTGTTTCTGAAAAATAGATCTAACTTAAAAGTCTATTTAAAAATAGGTGTGCTCTTCCAAAGCAATATTGTATACATATTTGGAATTCTTTAAAATAACATGTTCTTCAAACGAATATTATGATAATATCTTTATTATGGAGAAGTGACATATTTGTGGGTATGTTTCTTACGTTAGATTTAGTTGAAGCACGGAACATATATATATGTATAAATAAACCTTCATGGTTTTCCTGGAATGTAAAAAACTACACAGTTAAGTTTTGATACATGATATTTTAATTTTTAAGAAAGAAACTAGATTTCTCATAGGTGTGAGAAAATGTATTCTTGCATAATACTGTATTCTACTGGCCTTGGTCAGCACAATAGAGAGTAGATTTGAATGTGCTGAAATACCGAAATGGAACCCGTGTTTACGATCGACACTTGATGATCACATAATGAAGTTGTCTGTACTTTACACGCAGCGCTACTCTTTTGGCATTCCTGGTTGAACTGCTTAAAAGTTCAGTCGCCATGCAAGAACAGATGCTGGGTGGAAAAGGCTTTCTAGTCATTGGCTACTTGCTTGAAAAGGTAAGTGATGTGAGCTGATGGTTTCGTTGTGTAGCCTTCACAGACAGGAAACTTGACAGTCATTGATCATACTTTTTCTGCGGTTTCCCTTTCGTTGACAGTGCCGAGGCCACGTTGTTGTCTAATTCACAACTTAGATGTAAATGTGGATATTGAACTAAGTTGGGCTCAGAAATCTCATTAAGAAATTATGAGTAAAAATAGAAACTAAAGAAAAAACTAGATTTCTCATAGGTGTGAGAAAATGTATTCTTGCATAATACTGTATTCTACTGGCCTTGGTCAGCACAATAGAGAGTAGATTTGAATGTGCTGAAATACCGAAATGGAACCCGTGTTTACGATCGACACTTGATGATCACATAATGAAGTTGTCTGTACTTTACACGCAGCGCTACTCTTTTGGCATTCCTGGTTGAACTGCTTAAAAGTTCAGTCGCCATGCAAGAACAGATGCTGGGTGGAAAAGGCTTTCTAGTCATTGGCTACTTGCTTGAAAAGGTAAGTGATGTGAGCTGATGGTTTCGTTGTGTAGCCTTCACAGACAGGAAACTTGACAGTCATTGATCATACTTTTTCTGCGGTTTCCCTTTCGTTGACAGTGCCGAGGCCACGTTGTTGGCTAATTCACAACTTAGATGTAAATGTGGATATTGAACTAAGTTGGGCTCAGAAATCTCATTAAGAAATTATGAGTAAAAATAGAAACTAAAGAAAAAATATTTTTATCTATTTGTATTGAAAGTTTCATATATATTCTCTTACATCTTTTCTTTTGGTTGTTTGCTATGTTTATTCAAACTAGGTTTCTTGGAAATTTTAATCAATTTTAGTTAGTTTTAGTTTAAATGGATTTAGTTTTCCGTTTCTGTTTTATTAACTATAAGGTAAAAACATTTTTTTTTGTAGCAATAGAAATATTATTTTGTCTGTGCAGTTTTTAATGTAGTAGGATATATAAAGTAGCTTTCCTCTAACAAATGCATAGTATAAACAATGCAAATTAGATGGGTTTAATTTTTTCCATTTTGTGTCATTTATGTCATTTTATAAATGACCTTTGCTTTAGTCACAGCTTTGGTATTGAGTAACGAATTTCTGATTATGGTCTCAAGACTTTGGTTGTATCATGTGATGTTATTTAAAAATTAAATTGGGAATTCATGAATAACTATTTTTTTCCCCTGAAGAAATATCTATCACCCTCATTAGCTCTCAAAAACCTTTTCTTATCAGTTAACTCTAACCTTCAGCTGCTCTGAAAATGGAACTATTTTAGAAATAATAGAGGTGAGATCTCAGCTGAGAGAAAGAAACTTATTTTTTCTCCTGAGAAATAAAATTGAAAAGACTTTTGGAGATAGTTATTTTTGCCTCAGATTGTTCTACATTTGAAGTCTTTGTAACCTGTCTTTTCACTGAAACAAATACTTCTCTTTCTTGAAGGACTGGTGATCAAGGAGTGGTAGATTATTAAGTAGATAATCATTAAGTAGATTAATGATAAGTCATTGGCAGCATTTCTTTATTGAGATGATTTTTTCAGTAACATTATTAAAATTTTCATTAAGGCTGTTTGGCTTACTTTTTAATCATGAAAATCTATTTTCTTATATCTACAGTATTAAAATACAATTATTTCAAAGATTTGTGTTCAATTACATTTTACTTGAAATAGATATTATGAAATCCTTGGCAAGATTACTATACATAAAAAGTTTACTATCAGAAACTACTCCTTGTATATATACTTTTCATCTGTATACTGAGGGTTTATCAATGTAATTCTAAAGTTAGTATTCTTGTATAAAGTTAGGTTAAAAGTAGAAATTTTGTGAAAAGATTTCAAATCAAATAAAAACATGTATTCAGTTCTTCCTCTTTCTCAGAATTAGTATCCTTAAAATTATGCTGTCAATTTAGTACATGTATTATCTCACTGTAGTTTTAATTTGTTTTATTTTTAGATTTTGAATAATGTTGGACATGTTTCCATATGTACTTATTGGACATCCATTTTTTTCTCTCTGTGCAGTACTTATTCAGGTCGTTTGCCAATTTTCCCTTTTTCTCCCCAAGACCACCCACACCTAGGCAACCTGTACTCTGCTTTTTGTCTCTGTGATTTTGTATGTTCGAGATACTTCATGTAAGTGGTGTCATATATTTGTCCTTTAGTACCTGGCTTATTTCACATAGCGTAACGTTTACAGGATTCATCCGTGTTGTAGCTTGTATCAGGATTTCATTCCTTTTTATGGCTGAGCAATATTGCCTTGTATTGGTATACCACATTTTATCTATTTGTCAGTAGACATTAGTTCATATTTTGGCTGTTAAGAATAATGCTTTGTGAATGTTCATGTACAGGTTTTTGTATAGATGTATGCCTTGTATTTCTCTGGGGCAGATGCCTATGAATTGATTTGCTGGGTCCTATTGTAACTCTGTGTTTGAGAAACTGTCACATTGTTTTAGATGTATGCCTTGTATTTCTCTGGGGCAGATGCCTATGAATTGATTTGCTGGGTCCTATTGTAACTCTGTGTTTGAGAAACTGTCACATTGTTTTCTAAAGTGGCTCCACCATTTGATGTTCCTCTCAGCAGTGTCTAAGATTTACAGTTTTTCACATACTTGCTAACCCTTGTTACTATTGTCTGTCTGTCTGTCTTATTCTAGTCATCCCAGTGGCTGTGATGTATATTTTAAGATTTGCATTTCTGTGATGTCTAATGATGGTCAGCATCTTTTCATGTACTTCTTGGCTATTTGTATATTTTCTCTGAAGAAATTTCTATTCAGAACTTTGGCCCGTTACAAAGAATTGAGGTGTTTGTCTTTTTATTATTGAGTTGTAGGAGTTTTTTATCCTATGTACTAATTCTTCATTAGATATACATGATTTGCAAAGATAGTCTTCCATTCTGTAGATATTATATTTTAATTGGTATTTCCCCGATGACAAACAAAATTGAGCATTTTCACATATTTATTGTCCTTTTGGTTATCTTCTTTTCTTAAATAGCTGTTCAGTGTTTGCCCTTAGTCATTTAGATTGTCTATCATTTTCTTATTGGTTGGTGGGACTTCTGTAAGTATTCTGGACATGAGTCCTTTGTTGGCTATGTGTCACAAATAACTTGTCCTCTGAGGCTTGCCTTTTTACTTTCTTGATGGTGTTTTTTGATGAATTGAAATCCTTAATTCTAACATAAGTCAAATTTTCAGTTTCTTGTACAATTAGCCCATTTTGGATCCTCATGTATCCCAAAGGTGTGAAAGTATTCTGAGTGTCCTCGAAATTTTGTTTTTACTTTTCACATCTAGATTTACCATCCAACTGGAGTTGAATTTTGTGCATGGCTTGAAATACATGGCATGAATTATAGGAGCCATGGTTTTTTTTTTTTTCTTCTTTTTCTGAAGATGTATCCAGTTAGCTCATTACCAGGCCAGCTTATTTGGGATGATTTTCCACTGCATTGCAGCTTAAGCTTTGCCATAAATCAGGTGAACATAAATAAACAGGATCATTCCCAGTGTTTTATCTATTGGGGGATTTTTTTTTTTATATTTGAGGCAGTACAATAGTGTCTTAATTTGGGTAGCTTTTTGCTACTTGATGTCTCACAGTGTGTCATCCAGCTTTATTGTTCTTCAGGATCGCCGTGGCTGTTCTGGGGTCTTTGCATTTACATGTATATCAGCTTCTTGGTTTCCACCAGAAAATGTTGTATTATACTGGCAAATTGTATTGAACGTTCTAGTTCATATACTAGTATATCCTTCTCTTTCTTTAGGCCTTTTTGGTAGTTTTCTGTGTAAAACACTTAAGATTTAGTCTTAAATATTCGAAGCTTTTAAATTTTTAATTTCTTTATTTGTCACTGGTATATAAAAATATAATTGGTGTTTATATTGATCTTTTACATACCAGTCTTTATTCCTCTATTAGTTCTAATGTTTCATAAATTTTTCAAAAAACGTTCTTTGTAGAAAATAAAATAATCCAAGAATGGCAGTTTTATTTTTTTCATTTCTGATGTTTATTCTTTTTATGTTTTCCCTTGTCTTATTGCACTAAGAATTCGAGTATGGTGGTGAATAGAAGCTGTAATAGTGGACATCAGTCAGTATCTTATTCCAGATCTCGTGAGCAAAGCTTTCAGTAATTAACCACTAAGTACGATAAATGCTATAGATTTGCTTTTTGTAGATTTTTAAATCATAAACGATTTCAAGTTTGCCAAGAGTTTTCTTCATTATAAACAAGTGCTGAATTTTATCAAATGCTTTTTTCTGAATTATTTGAGACAATTGTGATATTTCTACATTGTCTTCTTAGTTTAGTGAATGATATTAATTGCTTTTCAGCTGCTAAGTCATCCTTCTATTCCCGGGATCCTAGGTAGTCTTAGATCCACTCCCGTTCCAGTCAGGCCTCAATCCTCATCGTTCCCTTAAACTGGTCATGTCAGTGTCACCAGTTGCCTTCACGTTCGTAAATCTTATGCTTCTCAGTCTTCATCTTATTTGATCTGTTAAGATTTCAGTTTAACATTATTTCCTTCTTGAAATGCTGTCTCCAGTTGCATTCTGTGACAGCGTTCTGTTGTTGTTCTCGTCACCTCCTGGGCCTCCTTTTCTTTTCTCGCAGCCGCACCTCTTCTCTCTGAACTCCGAAGACCCTGGCTTCCTGGTGCTTAATCCTGGAAACCTTTTCTTTTTTCTGTTCACACTTTGAGATCACCATTCCCTCAGCGTTTATTATCCTGTGAATACTAGTTATTCTCAAATGTGTATTTCCAGCCACAACCTCTCCTTGGTACTTCAGCCTCCCATCGGCAGCTCCACTTGGATGTCCAAGAAGTTTCGAAAATTTAAATTATCCAAACCATTATTTCTGATTTTCCTCTCAAGTCTTTTAGCCCCCGTCTTCTCTATTGCAGTTCACAGCATTACCAGCCAGCGAGTAGTCCAGGCCAAGAGAGTCGATC